TTATACTAATTTAATTTTACCTTACATTCATTTAATATTACATTATCTTTATTTAATATTACATCATAATTGTAAATTTAAAATTTTACGTAATACTGTAATCATAACATTACCATTTCCTTAAATGGACTATATGGAGGAGATATTATTAATTTAAAATATGCAAAAACTATATAGAATATTATAATTATGGAAAATGATTTAGAAACATTGTATTTAAACAATGATTTAGAAACATTGTATTTAAACAATTTTTTCTATAATTTTACATGTTATTTAATTATTAAATATTTTCAATTTAATATAACTTATAATATTATATATATTTATTTAACATCACATTATCATTATAACTTGAAAATTCTATTCATAAACTCGAGAGTTGGATTTATCGATAAAAGTGAGTCCCATTTCATGTCTATGGTTCAAGTTTTGGGTAGATTCAAGAAAATTAATTTTCTTAATGAAAATGCTATAATTATAATGTTATATGATATTATAAATTGACAATATGATTTGTCATTATATAATTATTTTTTTATAAAGAGTTCATCTATTATATTATATATATTTGCTTATTTAATATTTCATTATACTAATTTAATTTTACCTTACATTCATTTAATATTACATTATCTTTATTTAATATTACATCATAATTGTAAATTTAAAATAACTCTTGACACTTTGACTATATCATTTTCAAAAAAATATATATATATATATATATATATATATATATATAGAAAGAAAACCGTTTTACACGAAGGTTGTATGTAATCTATCCTGTAAAATTATTTAAATACTTTTAATTTTGTTTTTATATTATTTTTTCAAGAGCATTTAGTTAATTTTACAGGGCAGATTGTCTGTAAAACATTTTTTTTATATATATATTGTTCAAAGTTTAATCTCATGTAGCATTTATCATATGGAGTCTTTTTTTTTTTAAAAAAAAAATATTATAGCCATTTAGAAAACTTTAGAGTATAAATAATGAATTGAGCTACAAATTGAGGTGTGAAATTAGTTTTTTTTTTTTTAAGATTAAAAATAAGTTGAAAAAATAAACAAACCAAATCATA